CCTTGATGCCAAGCTGATAGAGAAGTCATTTGGGGAGGTATTATATAAAGTGTTTACAATACAAACACATCAATTACAGCTGAAAACGAAATCTTCACATTCTCCAATATCTTGAATCTGGATGCTGTATAAACAAAGCTCTGAACTTCCCTGTCAAACTTTTTTTTTTAAATAATCTTTGAGTTTCAAAGTTTTGTGTCTCTGTAGCTTTGGATCATGAGTTACCTTGAGTTTTCTGACAAAGTAATGTACTGTTAGAGGGACTATTTCTCAATAAAATATGCACACATAAACAAATCCCTTAACTATGTCTATGTTTTAATTACTTCAGAGCCATTCATTGGATTCAGTCCTGGGGAGAGTAGGACATGTCCGTGTGTCCAGAGGTATAGCACACATATTTATGCATACACAAAATCTCAGCGTGTAGTATGCTATTTTAAGAGCCTGAACTCTATCTTTCAACAAAGTTTAGCTGCTTTCCTTTTGCAAATGCATTTAATTTTATCTGGAAACTTTTTGACGTTAGAAATAGAACAACTGTAGTTTCTCATTATGTTTGCTGCCAGAATCCATGCTTGGTTGCTCAACTAAAGACCTTCTATTGCTAATTACTACCACATGCCCATATCCCAAGCGAAAGAAAACTTATTGATTCTGACAGCCCATTCTCTCAACACTGAATTCCAAATGAAAACTCAAATTTTGGCCAAACATAACATTTCATCAATCTTGTTCTACTGACTGGAAAAACAACATCAAACAAAGGGTGCTAATGGCCCTTTATTACCGTTCCTTTCCCAAGCTTATATTTTCTGATGAAAGATCTAAGTGACCAAAGGGCTTCTTTAAACTACTTAGTAATTAGCTTTTGAACCAGGAAACAATGCGCAATGTAAAGTGAACAGTCCCAGGGCTGATGACAGGACCGACTCTCTGTCCACAGGGTCGCGGGGCACTGGAGACCCAAAGAGAACATTAAAGGCAAAATGCATTTTCATAAAGGGAGAAGAAAAAAACAGAGAGAGAGAAACAGGCTGGAAGTGGTGATAAAAGATTACAGAGCCAGAACAAAACTGCAGGAAGTCTGTGATCTGAAGTCATCTGCATGTGGGAGTCTAAGTGGAAATGCCAAGGCAAGAAGACCGACCAGGGTGGGTGAGCAAGCGTCTGTCCGAGGGCCTCATCTGGGCCACCCTCAGCCAAAGCTGCTAGCCAGGAACCTACTCACATTTGACTGGGGAAATTATTTTAGAAAAAAAAAAATGTTTTTTTTACCTGGAATGAGAAAAGAAACATTTTTAAGCTAGACTTCAGGGCAATTGATTTTATTGACTTCTTCAAGGGCAGCGATTAGGAAATGCTGGCTGAGCCAGTGGGGTGGAGAAGCCATAAAGCAAGCCCTGGGCCCTCGGAATGCCTTCTGCTTTATGGCGACCTGTCCACACCTGAAAGGGAAAGCTGTTTTCCTCTTGGCATGGGACAAATGACCAATGGGAATCTCTGGACTTATTTGGCCTTTTGGATACAACCAATGGCCCAGAAATCAGAACAGCTTGGTTCTAACCTCATCCAGGGCTGTTAAGATAATAGGGAGAGGAGGGGCCCATTAGAGGGAAGATGGAAGGATGCGCTGCCTCCACTGAAGGGACGCCAACTGGCCTCCACTCGCCCACCGTCCTTTGTGCCTCTGAAAGGAAACTGGTATCCTGTGGGTAGTTCAAGAAAATGAGCCCTTTTTACCACCTTCTCATTTTCTGAATGGAGGACTGGACACCTGAGCTCAGGATGCCTGGAACCATGACTAGATAGGAGGGCTGTCTCTTTCTAACATGGCTGACTGTCAGGACAAGGAGGAGGCAGCGATGGAGGGCAATTAGGTGCTACTAACTTCATTTTTTTCTCTTAAAAACAAAATAAGACCTCTAAGAGTTCGTTTGCAATTAAAGGAGAAGGGAAAACAAACAAAAACCTAAGCAGTTCCAAAATTCCACGATTCCACGACCAGGAAGAGGCATGAGCTGTGAAACCTTTTCGTATCTTGACCTGGATGATATTATGGTAGTTACTGGGTGTGTCCACAGGTATGAATTCCTCAGGCTGTATGTTAAAGCTGTATACATTTTATTTATGTAAATTATACCTCGACAACAAAGTAGAGTGCCCAAGAAAAAACTCTGAATGGATAGAGTAAGGTTTCTGTCAGCTCTACCTTCGTCACTGGTCCTCCCCGATGGTGGGCTGGCAGGGCACCCCGTGGGCGCGATCCTGCCGCTCACTCAGAGTACACCTTCCAGTCGATATTGAACCAGTACACTGATATTTATAGTGATAAAGTGATCTGAGCACAAATGGAAACAGCTCCCAAGAAGAAAGCATTCACGTTTGGGAAGCTAAACCAAAGACTCAACAGAAATAGCATGTAGTGCCCTGACAGACCATAAATATAGATTTCTTGCCCAGAAGAAATTTCAGCTGAGTAATGAATCCCTTTGAGGACAAGACCAGTGTCTCCTGGCTGAAAAGGAAAACTGGTTCTCCACTGGCTGCAATGCCTTTACAGTAGGCAGGATGGCCTGGGGTATACCTCCTCAGGACACCCCACTAGAGTTATCCCATATTATTGCTACAAAAGACACCAGAAGGTGGCAGCACAGTAGTCTGAGGAACGGGAAGATTACTTGGCCAGCTGGTGTGACAAATGAATGTGCTTGGTCCATTCATGAGGGGTCAGAACAGAACATAAGGGCCCAGTTATACAAGGACCCCTTTCAGGATAAATCTCTGGGAGGTTATGAATGGGCATAAGGCCCAGGGAGTTGGTTCAAGTGTGACAGCTTCCTGAGGTGACCTCTGATATCACACCCCATGCAGAGTGTGGGCCTTCCCTCATAGAAGAGCCAGGGTGGGGGTGGGGGAGCAGCAGGAATCAGATGTCACCACCATAGGGACTCTGGAAAGTCTCTTAACCACATCTCTTCTGATGCAACTGACTTACTTTCTGCCTCCATGTTTGTTAAAAGTCCCGCCGAATTTATTCCGATTCAGGATGAGAGCAGCAATTTCGGGCACGTAGCGGGCAAACATTGCCTACATGCATGAAACAAAGAAACAAGAGCCAAAAAAAAAAATGGCATGCAGAGAGGATTCTACCGCAGCGGAGGCAGCAAAACCTCTTGGCATACTTACTTTCTTCCACTAACCGCACTATAGGAGCCCCCGTATTTCTTGCGGTTTCCTATTAACTCTATGATTTCAGGGACGTAGCTGGCAAACATGGCCTGAGGAGAAGATAGGAGACAGAAGAGAGACTAAAAAGACAGGCCCAAGAAAGGGGGTGACCTTTTCAGGAGGGGGGATACTTAGATCTGAAAACACAAAAGGATTAGACCTGTGAAGGTGTCTATGCTGGATTATAAAAAATAAAAGCACGACAAAGGCAAGCTCCTGAAAATACATGGGACAAAACAAACATTAGCCAAACCAGACAACTTAAAAAAAAAAAAAAATCACAGTTGAGAAAAATACAAAGAGACAGGAATAAATAAGCTCACATCCTGCTCTCTTCCTGAAGAAAAATAAATAAAAGGCGTGCATGCTGGTGAAATCCAACACACACACGCGCGCACACACACACACACACACACACACACATAGTGCTTGCATACACACACATTTTTTGTTAGAGAAAACCTTTCTAATTAAAATTCAAAGGAGAATGGCTTTATGAATCATTAAAGACAGTAAGCGCCAAAGAAAGATTAAAAAATAAATAAACTTTTCCATTAAAAAAAAATCACTAAAAAGCACAAAAGGTAAATTTCGGAAATCACATGGGGAGGAAAGGAGAACAAGGAGAAACACAAATCTGCCATGTTTTGTCCAACAAACATCTTTCTTGTGGCTGGATAAATGGGTCTCCTTATCTACAGGGACCTCGCCGATGCTATAGAAATGCTTGCATTAATGTACACAGGCACACGCACATTTATATACATGTTAACAATGTATATGTCCTATGCATACAAAACAGAAAGGTGTGTATGCATCACTAAATATCAATGTGCGTGCAGTGGACATACATGAAAGCTGAGTGTGAACTCGGATTTTAATCACTTACCTCACACACAGCGAACACCTGAACTTACAATGAGCTACTTGGAGAGACGAGATGCAGCAACCACCGAGCTGTTGCCAGAAATCCCCCTCAAATTACATCCTTACTAAGGCGGTCTAGTGTGACATGAATTACCGCACAGACCAGAAGAGCACATAGTGGCACTTACTGCCAAACTTACAAAGAGGGAGGAACACTAGCCCACGTGTTGCTGCAGTTGACAAAACGATACTCTGCTCACATTGTGATGTCCGCCTGGCCGAGACCAGCGTGCTCCCTGCCCTCTAATGGGGAGACCCTTCTCTTTAGGGCAGGCCCCAGCCACAGTGTTTGTTGGAAGTTTGAGGAGGAATGTAAATGGGAAGGGGCACTCTTGAAACCGCAAACTGTCCACAGAGTATGACAGTATCTACCTGGGTCAGCTGACGGGAACTGTCCTTGTGGAATAACATTACTAAGGGACAGCCGCGCTGCGCTCACTTACACATTTCTTAGGTTCGCTCCTGCTACGGGGCTGTCCCTGCCAAAGGCAGTACACCTGGGCCTTTGGATGGCTGAAATACACCTAGGAATTGTGTAGAACAGTCACCCGCCTCTTTGCACTTCCTTAGCCTGACCTGCAACACTATAGCAATCACTTGCTTCTAGCACAAAAACACAGTATAAAAATACAAAGCTTTAAGGAAATGAATAACAGGAAATACTAAGGACCATAAAAATTAACGTCATAATAAAGAGCGTTTACCAGGCCCCCGAGGATGAAGAAGACCATGAAGAGGCGCCCAAGGGTGGTTTTCGCATAAACATCCCCATAACCAACGGTGGACATTGTGACCATGAGTAAATAGACACATTCCCAATAGGTAAGCGCCTGGTTGTTCTGAAAATTTTCCCATGGGTCCCCTGAATTCTCCACCTAAAGCAAGGGGTTGGGGAGAAAAAGAAAAACATTGTATAAATATATACACACATGCAGGTGCCTTTGGTTTGTGATAAGCGTACATCTTGACAAGTGCATCTGAACTAGAAATATCTTAAGATGAAAACACATTTAAAAGGCCTAACAGCAGTGCAGTAGCAAAATGGATGCTCTGCAAGGCAATCCAATCTGGGAGGGTTCATGGTTCAAATACAGAGACCTCCCTGAGCGCAGCGGGCATGTGTGTGTCCACAGGCCAGAGCTGACTGAGGCTGGGGGATGGACCGTGGTGTGAAGACCCTGTTGGGGGTGTGCTGTCTTTCTGCCACTCTCTTCGTTGCTTGTCTGTCTTGCCATAGAAGAAATCAAGTTTGTTTGTCTGTTTGGTTGTTTTGTTTTGTTTTGTTTTGTTTTTTAAGAAAGAAGGCCAGCAGGTGACATGGAGGTTAAGGTGGCTGGATCTCACATGGCTGACTGCATGGCTGGAGCCTGGACCCATGGTTTAAAAAACATGTAGGATACACAAAGTGCAATGCCCAAAATCCTGAGAGGAAAATGGAGGAAAAGGGATTTCGGCATGGCCATTCCCCCAGGGGATAATTTCTCACTTTCCTTCTGACGCTCTCTCTCCAGTGAGCACACATCCCCTACAGCAAAACTAAAAAAATACACAAAAGAGAGAGAGAGAGAATGTATTCAATATCCATTAAACCTGTTGTGAAATTAAAAATGTGTACATTGAACCACTGTTAAGTCAGAGACTGTACAGCAAGCAGGGAGCATGGAGCTCAGGCCACCTCTTCTCAACAGAGATATCTGGCTTCCTGGGCTGAGGCCTGTATGAGGAGTCTTCAAAAACCTCATCGAAAATGTATATTATGTAAAAATTATATATAAACTTCAACATTTTTTGCACCAAAATAAACACTTTAATTCTATTTTCCATGAAGTTTTTTTTTTTTGAGAGTTTTTTTTTTTTTTTTTTTCTAAAGGGTGGGTTCACTCGCCAGAGGATGCGTTCACTCGCCAGAGAGACAGAAAGCAAGAAATCACCCCTCCCCGCAATCCCTTCTCCTCCATTCTCTTCTCGGGATCTTGGGTACGCAGGCAGACGCACCCAGTGTGAGTTTAAGCCACCACGTCTGGGACTCAAACCACAGTTGACTACATGCGAGTCCAGCGACATAGCCATTATGCCAACTACTGGTCCCTCCATGAAGTTTGTGAAGTTTTTGAAGTCACTGTGAGTGACAGCTCAGATCCCTTGAGCAGGTAACACAAAAAGTGGCGTGGGAGGAGTAGGAGGCACCTTCCTAACTGACTAAGAGAAGGTGCAAATCCCAGGCCGGGCCTGTCTTCTCTGTGTGGAAGGTGAGAAGCTAGCTGACACTTAGGGCCTGTCTCTGGCCACATTTTACAGCATTCTCTTCAAGGAAGGTACCTTCCTTGGCCTTTCTCTGTGGGTTACCTGCTGGGTCCCAGAGGGCCTGGCTCTCATTCAACCTAGGTAACCCTAGGCCGCCCACAGAGGGGCACTTCCTTTCATCTTTCTGACCAGGGAGATGCCAGGTGGGTCCTGCTCCTTCAGGTCTTCTGCCCAAACCCTAAGAGCAGCAAGGAGAGTCTGGCCTGCTCTCCCTTTTTTAGAAAATGTCTATCACACTTCTACCCTCAGGCTGCAGGAACTGCCCCAGGGAAGCCTGCAAAGTGAGCTCATGAGAACAGTTTGCATTTGCACAACTCTTTAGACCAAGGGCTGGCAGATTTTATCTGCAAAAAGGCTAGAGAGTAAATATTTTCAGCTTTGTAGGCAGAACAGTTCCGGGTTCCCTGTGGCAACAGAAGTAGGGGGCAATAAAAAAGTGAATTGGAGCGCTAGGGCCTGGAGCCGGGATCTGCCCACCTCTGCCTGACTTGACCAACACTCTCCTTCCACACTCTCCTGTCCTCTGCCATATTTCATCTGCCAACATGGCTGTGGGGTGGGCTAAAGACTCTGTCTAGGACCTGGACTCTTACAATGAAATTTGTCCTCAACATGTCATTTTTAGAGATTTCCTGGAGAGTCAGAAGGTATTTCACAAAACAGGAAGATGGGGGTCACGGCTTGTTGAACACAACCGTCTCCTCCACATTTCTGATTTTGGCACTTAATTATAAGAAGCAAGGGAGTGGGGAGCAGCAGGTGGTGTGGTGGTTAGGGCTGGATTCCCACATGGCCGACCTTGGTTCTAGTCCTGGACCTGGCGACTTGCTTTCTCATTTTCCCTTCCTCTCTCTCTGTCTGGTCAAATTAAAAATAACAATAATAATAATAACAAATGGAATTAAATAAATAAATTTTTAAAAAGAGAGAGAGAGAATCAAGGGGATTTGGGCCAAGAATTTCTATCTGCATAAAGGACTAAGTGGGGAACCACCAGATCTGGGACTGAATGCGAGGCCCCAGCTGTGAATGATAATTACGAGTCTCAGATGGTGGGTATTTTTCTAACCCTTCAGCAAGGGGAGGACACCTTTATTCCAAGTCTCACACTTGGATGAGGCTCCTTCCAGTTCTAGCGGTGTATGTTTACATGAAACTCACCTCCTATGATACTGTACTCTGCAAAAGCCAGAGGGAAAACTGCTTCAGGGAGGTGAGAGACATTTGACTTAATATAAGGCTTTCAAGGAGTCGTTAATGTACAATAATTAACATTTTTTGAGGTACCAAATAACTTGACAAGTCATCAGGCGAAAGAATCAAATTTGGCTTTTTGTAAGAGGAAAGTGGAGAGAAATCCAGGGATCTGAATGTGTGTTTACCGAGTCAAACTTCAGCCTAGTCCGCGGCCCTTTTCTGGGCGTTTGCTAGGGAAGCACTGCCATCTTGTGGCTTTCTGGAGTTATTGCAGACAGGATGAAAAAAATCTACCAAAGCCTCCGCAGCAATACTGGTAAAGCAGGAAGCTGCAGTTTAGTAGTGCAAATATCACTCGCCATTTGGAACTCCTTTGGGCTAAAAAGGTCGGAAACCCAGACGACCGTGTGGTCACTTCCCCTTTTCCTGTCTACAATTTAGCTGAATTTTCTCTCCAGTTGAGAACAATTTCAGGTTGAGGGGCGCGATCCAGAGGAGCCTGAGTTAAGGGGTCTTAAAAGATACTCACCAAATGGATGAACCCGGCTGCTGTTAGCCATGTGCTGATAAATATGGACAGCAGATTCACCAGTTTGATGGAATTACTACGCAAAAGAGACAAGAAAAATCCCCAAGTTACACAAGGAAAACATCCTGTTGGCGTTGCCTTAAAGAGTAACAGCGCCCCCTGTGGGAGAAAGGCACCTGGAACTCCCAAACACCTAGCTTTTTTTTTTTTTTTTGGAGAGGTTTTTGCTGTAGGGCGAGTGTGCTCGCCAGAAAGAGAGAGGCAGAAAGCGAGAAATCACCCCGCAGGGGGGATGGCCACACCGCAATCCCTTCTCCTCCATTCTCCTCTCAGGATCTTGGGCACGCACGCACATGCACACGACGTGAGTTTAAGCCACTGGGTCCGGGACTCCAACCGCGGTTGACTATGTGGGAGTCCAGCGACATAGCCATTACGCTAACTGCTGGTCCCGACCACCTAGCTTTTGAAAGGGAATCCAGGAAGATGGCAGCAATGGGTCAGCAAGACAGGGGAAAAACACACCCTATGGGAAAAACGCACCAGGGCCACTAAAAGTGGCTCCTGAATTTACTCCCCTAACTTTGTTACAACTTTTTAAAAAATTAACTTGTATTTTGAAAAGTCATCAAATCTATAGACAAAATGGAAAGAACAGTAAAACAAACACTTGTATGCCCTCCATCTAGATTGGCCGATTATTAACATGTTGCCACATTTGCTTTATCTCTTCATCTTCTTCTTGCTTTTTTCCCCCCTCTTTCCTTTTATATTTTTATATATTTTTCTTGGCTGGGCTGTTTATAAATATATTGTAGATGCCATGACATAACCCCTAAGTTCTTCTAAGAAGGATATTATGCAACATAATCACGATACAGTGCCACAGCTGAGAAAATTAACATGAATTCAATAATGTTATCTACAGCCCTTATTTAAATGTTGCCAGTTGTGCTACAATGATGTCTTATTAGTGTTTTCATTTTTCCCCTTGACCCACGGTTCATCGTGCATTGCATTTGGCAGTTAGGTGACTTTAATGCAGGAGTCAGGAAACAGTTTGGGTATAGGGACATGGAGTAAATAATTTAGACCTTATGGGTCCTTGAGTCTCTGTCTTCAATACTCATCTCTACAGCTGTGACATAAAAGTAGCTTTGGCAGTAGTTAAGGGGACAGGCGTGGCTATGTGCCAGTAAAACTTTATTTACAAATATAGGCAGCAGGCTGCATTAGCCCATGGGATACAGGTTGCCAGTCACTACTGGAGCCTTCTCATGTTTCTAAGTAAGACCACCCCCTTATCGTTTTTGTTTGTTTTTAATGACATTTGGTTTTATAAGAAGCCAGTCTGTCCTGTTTGCCTGGTGGCTCCCTCATGATTAGATCCTATTTAAATACTTCCAGGACTATTTGCTGGGTTGGCATCACATCAGGAAATTCCAGCCCCATGACCCGTCACTTGGTTAAGGTGGGAATGCCATCTCTCACCACCAGAAGGTACCCATTTCTTCTTGTAATTAATACCCTGTCTTGACTCAGAGCCTCTATGAACACCCTGTTCCCTAATAACATTATACCTGATCATTTCAGCATCCACCGGTGTTTCTCGAGTGGATCAGCTGGAATTCTTTACCCTCCATGGGAACCGACGCCTTGCCTATCTGGATCTCAGGAGCAGTGGGTCCCTGGTGCACAGCAGGGACTCTACAAACATATACTGAAGGTGCTAATGTCTTCCTCCATATTCTTTCTCCTACACTTCACCCCATTCATGCCCACTGGGTTATATAAGTCCTTAGATACTGCTGTCAGGAGGTCACTTCACCGCCTAAGGCTTCTCATTAATTAATCTATGATTAATCTATGATGTCCAAACGCTCCCCTTCTGTCTTCGGTACCTTCTGAAGTCCCAGGCTCTTCTACCACTAGTCTTCCATGTGGACTTCGGAAACTTTTCACAGCCAGACCTACTTATTATAGTTATGTTTATGTGATTATTTTGATGGCAAAATGTGGCCAAATGTTACTTACGTTTTCACTGTGAGGGAACTTCAACAAGTTCATAGAAAAATGGAATTCAATTATGAGTTCATTTTGGTGCTAAGAAAATGTTTATATCCGTACAAAGGGTCTTCATAATACATATTTTCCATGCATTTCTTGAAGACCTCTTAGGTAAGAAACACTACCCATCTATCTAAATATTTCCCATTTTTCAAAGCCTGGCTCCATCTCTACCTCTTCCTTAAAGTCTTCCCACCTGCAATACGAAGTGTCTTGCTCTCCCTCCAGATAGTCACTGTAATTAATTCTACATCTTAAGACATCTTCTGAAACATGAGATTGCTATTTGATCCTTGTGTTTCTTGGTGGATCTTGCAGGCAAGAATCCTAGTTTTTAATCTACCACTTCTATTGTCCCAGGGATAGCCCTGTGCACCTTTAGAATTTCTCAACCCAACCTGTTTGGTCAGTTCATCTGTTATGATGGCCCTCTCCCAACTCTTTCTCCTGGAGAGTCCACGATTTAAATGGTAAGATGTTTAAGATTATTCTAATAGTCCCAGCTAACTCTTTACACCACTCTTCTAAGTGCTTTCTGTATACTAACTCAGTGAATCCTCATCTGACCTCTCTGAGACCATCCCAAGATTAAGAACCTCACCAATTCCACACAGTAAGCAGCAGAACTAGAACTTGAGCTTGGCAGTTTGGCTCCAGGGTCTATTCTCAGCCACTACACTGCCATACAAGAGACAAGGACTGGCCTGCAGGAGAAATCTTTCCTTGATTGCTAAAGCAAAGCTGTGCCTCACCCGCGTTCAATGCACGGGACATTAAAAAGATCAGAAAGTATTGCTCCAGAGAGGAGAAAGACTATCCAGACATATTGATTAATCTCTTATGCTGCCACACAAAAGAATGGGAAGGAAAAAGTCTAATGACAACATCTACAATTGACGAAGAATGCAGGATGAGGGCTGTGGTCGGCCCAGGGCAGCCTCGGAGTTAAGGAGCCTCGGTGGAGATTGGGGTCATTGATTCTAAGACAGCATCCAGCTTTCCTTCTGTTTCAATCTTTGTCCTTTTATATCAATGCACAGAGGAATCCATTACATTCTCCGGAGTTGATTCTAACAGTTCAGGGAAAGAATGAGCAGATATTTTCCATTTTGAGGGTCAGACTGATCATTTGAGATGTGTGAAACAACTTCCTTCTGGGTCCAAGATTTAGGGGTAGAGAAACAACAAAAATGTCCACCTGTCTTTCTTGATCATTTCTGGAATTGCCTAACTATAAAAATTGGTCTGATGAGGATTCACTGAGTTAGTATACATACTAGACATCGGGTTGAGTTCTTCATTTTCTTCAGATGTTTATCACTGCCCTTTAATAAAGGTACTCACTATCCAGATAAGGAGAATGAGGCTTCATAAGACTGAACAGATTGCCTGAGTTGAAATACGGTGGGTAAACAGTGGGGTAAATATTCAAACCTAGGCTGAGTGTTCCCAGACCTGCTCACCTAAATCACCTGGAGAAACAGTATGGTGAAACCAGATGGGCCTTTTTTTCTGCCACTCTTTGGTGTGCCCTACTTCTCCACCTCAAGCACCACTCTCTACACAGCCTCTCACTCAGGTGGGGCATCAATCAATGGCCCCCACCTTTCCCTTTACCGAGTGCCCCAAGCCAGGCTGGTCAATGGAGGGATCTTAGCTCTGGTAGGAGCTACAAGGTAGGGCTTATCAGAGACGCTATTCAGGAAATGAGTTGGAGAGTCTTTCTCCTTCAGATATATGGGTATTTAAAACAACAACAACAAAAACAACAATAAAAACCCCTAGAGGTCTAGAGGGCTATCTGCCCTGGATAAGGCCTATCTGGGAATGAAAAAAGATGGACAATGAGACCAAATCTTGATGAGACCATCTGAATGTCAGGATTCAGACATGCCTAAAGCCATCCAGTTCCACTTGGACCTCTGAATCACCAAGGCTAGCTGAAGGTAGACTCTGTAACTTGCAATAAAACCCACATGCTTACCACAGAGGTGGTTGATATCCAAAACACCTGTGAGAATACCGTAGCTGACCAGGCCTCCAAAGGAGGTCTGGGGTTGTCTTCCTCTGGGAGAAAAGGGCAGCTTCCTGTCCTACCCATTTTTGTGTCTGTTGGTTCACTCAGTCCCATGGCTCTAGGAGTTCCGGTATTAAGTGGGAACTCACAAGGGAAAGCATAGATCTGCTAGGTCCTGGCCTTCAACCCTGTTTCCAGATACCACCATGAGCCATGCTAACCCCACTTTCCTTGAATAGATTACCAACTGACCAAAATCATGTATAAAATCTCCCATGTAAGCCTCTTCTTGGAACTGAGAGAAAACACAGGCCTTTTCTTTTTTGCTACCTAGAGAAGCCAGCCAGACCCAGAGGCCTATTCATTGGCTTTGCAGAATCTTCTCTTTCTGGAAGGGCAACCCCTTCGATCAGAGATTGGCCAAGTAGAAATATTGGGTTGTCAGAAAAGGCATGACACAATTTTACACAGAAAAACATAGAAAAACTACATAATGACCTATTCTGACAACACAATAAATTGACTAGATTCTAGACATTCACCCAATGAGCTCTGCCAGGCAAATTGACTTCCCTGGCAGTAAGGGAAGTCAAGGAGCTGAATCATTTTCTTTTTGGTGGTGGGGCTAGGCTACCACCACATCCTATTCCCAACAAGTTTTTCAATGGAAAATTAAAACCAAGAACTCTCCTCTGTCTTCACTCATAAACACTCTATGGTGTGTTCTAGCATTGAAGTGTAAGAAATAGATGAAGAACAGGTAGCCAAAGGCAAAGATCCAAGGGAAGACTGTGCACTTTATTTACTCACGGAATAGCTAAATACCAAGCTGATACACTTACATCCTCCCGGTTCCTGAGTGCCTGAACGAAGCAGTGTGCCACCAACAATCATGTAGAGTCTTCTTGATAAATTAAACCTACTGAGGTCTTTGAGCCTCTTGGTGCTTTGGAAAAAGAACCTAAACATGGTGATGATTAATCTCTCAATGA